AGTAATTCTAACCAAAAGTTTGCTAACACTAGTTTTTCCAGGTAAAATTTCATGTAGGAATTCAGTAAAATAAAATTGCATTAGAGCAGATTTTTTTGGGTGCAGTAAACTTTACCTGAAATTTTTTTTTATGCTTATATACCTATGCACATAAGTTCCAGCAAATCTTCATTAACTTGAAATAATATGATATTTCAAATTGTGTGTACTTGAAATGTTAGACAAAAAATTAATTTCTTATACTTACATTTCTTCACATGTTAATTTCGCATATTAGTTTTGAGTTTAAAACTTAATTTATAATGAAGTATTATAAAAAAATTCGAAAACTTAATTTTCAATTAATCTCATGAAAAATTTTCAAAAAGTCATGCTCATAATTACTTATTGTTAATTTTTCATAAATCTTTAATATCTCACTATTATAGCTAGGGTATTACTTAAAGAGGCGCTGTAATTATTCTGACTCTAAACATTCATATTTTTATTAACGTAAATGCATATATGCTTATTGATATTTAATTAAAAGAAGTTTACAAAACTTAAGAAATGCGCTTACGCAAGTATTTATACATACGCAAGTATTTAATATTTTAACAAAAGCTTATATTTTTTCGATACCCAGCTGTTATTTTGAGCTTTAATATAACCATCGGTCTTATACCATATATGAGCCGATGTATTTTCGTTAATAGTACTCATAACGTTCGCTTTCTAGGACCCGTATTCCCTGGAAATTCTGGCAGTTGATTTCATGTACAGATAAAAGTTCAAATATTAAATTTCATATAATCTTATTAACTGCATTTATAAATAGTTTCATAGATATTCTTAATACTCGTAATGTGAAATTGATCTTATTGAATGTTTAACATTCGAGCCCCTAGATTCCAAAAAAATTATTTATTTATTCTTTAATAATCCAAATTGAGGTTTTAAATTTGTTTATTATTTCACAGAGCTGTGGTTAAAAATGTTGAAAGCTGTTAAATTTAAATAAAAACAAAAAAAAATGTTACTTCTTTTCTTTTAAACTAACAGTTCCGGCTTTGAATTGTTACATAATTATGAATGTTCATTACTAATTTTTAGTACAATAAAAAATTCTAAAAAATATAATTAATTGTTTAAAATAAATTTTAAATCCTTCAACTAAAATAATTAATTGATAGTTAGGTAATTATAAAATTAATTGTTGGAAGTTGATTTATTGACATATGAATGTTATATATGTACATGTTCTACCTCTTATATACATGTGTATGTATATATATATTCATATCCAGATTCACATATTGATCAGAAGCGAAATAACTTTGAAATGTGATTCCATTTATTATTTTAGTCTTAATTACGTTAATTAACCTTATTTAACCTTAAATATTAGAGAAAATTTGAATTTACTAAAATATACGAAGTCCCGCATTTAGATCTTCCAAAAAGCGCTAACACTTTTTGTGTTGAGCTAAACATTTCAAAAAGCATTACCCAAAACAATTGAGTAATTTAATGCTTAAAACTTCTCATTCATGTCTTTTTAAACATTTTCAAACTTACTCATACTTGAGGGTTAAAATGAATAATAAATTATTTGCGCTTTTGTTTAAATAATAGTTGACATTATTATAAGATACAAAACTTTAGGTATTTTTCCTTTTTTATTTTAATCACATGATCTGGAAAGTACACCAGTACACATGAGCAGGTGTTATAAAAAAGAGGTATAGCAGGTGTTATACTCGTAATTCGATTTAAATTAGATATCAATAATATAAAGTGTTCCAATAAGAATTCCTCATATTATAGTATAATTTTGATCATAAGAGCAAAATAGTATCTTTGGAAATAACAAATACTTTCTGAAAACTCAGCATTTGATGTTAACTCATGAACCTATGTATGTATGTATATATTTTCAGATTGCTATACTATCCACATGTAAAGGCGTCACTAGATACCTACGGGAACTCACCATTCACACCATAGTAAATTCTACTGTTTATTAACTGATACGTAGCTTATTATTTTTCTTTTTTAATGGTGCAAGATACTGTAAAAATAACATTCATACATTGGCAAGCTTGTAAGTCAAGCAATTATACAACATTCACATTTAAATCTCCTTCGAAAGCTGCAAACAGTTTCTTTTTTAATTTTTCATATATTTAACATTAGTTTAAAAAATAAAACACAACTAAAAAACATCTGATGTGGTCAGCACATAACCGAGCGCAATGTGTATTGTCTAGTTAAATGAAAGTGTTACAGAAAATTATAAAAATGCCACTTCTTTTCAATTTCTAAGGCGTTAGTAAGCTTTTTGTTAACATATACCTAGAAATATAAATATATTTGGCTCTTAGTAGAGTTTCGCTTTGTGCCATCCCAATTCCTTGAAAAGTTCGCCAGTTAGTTTCGGAAACCACCAGAGCTCAAATATCAAATTTCAAATAATTCTATCAATCCGTTCCGTAGATGTGGTGAAAAATGTAAAATCGGTCCCTAGTTTGGTTTCCGAGCCCCGATCGTTCCAAAAAAATTATGTGTTCATTGTTTTAACACTCCAAATTTAAATATTAAATTTTAAGAAAAGTGGTTGATTATTTCTCTTTATATAGACAAAAACCTAAAATTGACCCGCAAAAAAGTGCGGTTCTCAAGGCCTGATATATCCCAAAAGTTAATTTATCCGTGACATAGCCAAAACATACATATAAAATTTCATTGCAATTAATTCAGCCAAACATAGGATACACGCGTGCAGACACAGAGACAGACAGACCGACACACCGACATCTTCCTAGAAATAGTTTATTTGCGCTTCCCTAATATGTTCACACCGAAAACTCGATATGCAAATTTGTTGCCATCACAGCGCCTCCCTTATTGTGTGCAATGTGGTCGGTAAATATACAAAAAGATTTTTCTTTCCACTATTCAAAGCAATTTATTATAGTTATCGTTTTGAGCGCCATCTCGAAATTAATATATCTTAGACATCAACCATTACGGTACAAAATGTAAGTTTTATTTTTTATAAATTTATTTAAAAAATTTCCTGTAGATGGATATCAACAACTACATATTATTTGTGAACTTGTACGCACATATAAGCAAATAATGCTAATATCTATCTGGCCTCCAAGCTAAAATTATTTTCTGAAATTTTGAATTGGAAAATTATAGATAATACAAAAAAAAATACAATAACAAATTTTAATGTTTTATGTTGTCGAAGTATGCCGATTGAAATATTTTTTTTATTTTCTTTTGTGAAATTTTTCAGTATTCTTTATTATTTTCTTTGTGATATTCATTTTATTTGGTATAGTTTTAAAAGCAATCTAGATTATAATTTTTATTTTTTTGCTTTTTTTTTCAATTTATATTTAAATTATATTTTTTATTCAAAAATTTACTATGTAATTTTGTACCTTTCCATTTGGAAGACAAGAAAGGTTGTCTGCGCTATTTTTAATAGCATTTTTTTTTAAAGCATTTTTCAGATGGAATTCGCCAATCGATTTTTTCTAAAATTTAAATTTTAAATTTAAAAAAATATGTCGAATCTGTAGAGCCAAAAATATTAATCAATTTCCTTCACAAAAAAAATTCCCATACTCCTTCCATTTAAACTCCATATAAACTTGCAATTTATTATTGTTTTGCTGTCTGAGATTGATGGCCTGATAGATATATATACGACATTATAAGCAAATATTGTGTTTGTCTGGTATAAAACTTCAAAAAACTTTAAAATGAGAAAATTGTGGCGCCACTTATTTTAGAAAGAAAAAAAATTGTCGCTTTAAAAAAAAATAAACCTTTTGAGAACTTTGTAAAATGTCAAATTTTAAAATACGTATCAAACTTAAACAAAATATTTTTTAGTTATACAGAAAAGCAAAAATATAATATGAAATATAAACAAATAAATAGAAGACCTAAAACTAAAAGACAGATGATTTTCTATTTTAAGATTATCTTGGATTACTTCATCTCTAAGAGAAAATTTTCTCACTAAAACATTTTTTTTGTTGTTATGATGAATAGAAAATGTGAAAATTCTATATTTTAGTAATCAGATAAATAATTTGTTTCTGAAAATAAAATATTTCTCTTCAAATTTTCATGAAAAAGGACTAGTTTTGGAGGTTTTCAGTTTCACATATCGTTGACATTTTTTAAGTTACTAATAAAATCAAGTGAATTAAAAAATTATAATCTCTTACACTTATTTTGCTAAAATAATGAATTGTCAAAACCATGTGAGTTCTAAAAGGTTAAAGCTTTTTTTTAAATAGGTATGCAAATGTGAACTACGCACTATTAAATTCAATTAAATAGAGAAAGAAAAATACACCAAGGAGCTTTTTGAATTTTCTCAGTCTATGGCATTAAGTGTTATGGCAACAAAAACATTATTGATAACAATTTTTAAAATGTAATTTATTTGCAATAAATGGCAATACTTTCATATGACATTATTATGACATTTGGTAATGTCATTTTCTTTTTAATTGGAAATTAAAAAAAAAAAGTTATTTTAGTCACGCGAAATTGTCAGATTAAATATAATGAAAAGAAAGTTATTATTTTTCTAAAAGAAGTATTAAGTTCCTTTAGCGAATTTCACTTACTATCCTTTCATATTTAATTTTAAAGTTTAAAAGAAGTTTCAAATCACCATAAATATTGTTTACAACAATGTTAACAAATATCTGAGATTTAAATACATTTAAAGTAAAAGAAATTAATAAAAATTTAATATAAGCTAACAATATAAAAATAAGAAAATTTTTCGGAGTACACTATAAAATTTCAACTCTTGTATTCCATATAATATTATAACAGTTCCAAAGAAGATTAACTTATATAATTTTTTAAATAAAATTGTCTGCGACTTCAACTCTTTAACCAAAACTTCGAATTTTATTGTCTTCTGTTTTTAAGAAATTAAAACAAAATTTAAGTAAATCAACTCAAATTTTCTTCATCAGTTTACAGAAATTATACCAGATATGGATGACATGGATATGTTCAATGAAAAACAATCAATACGTGATTCAGCTAGATCATTAAAAAAGTATGGAAGTACCTGTAATCATATCAGAAATAGCAGTAGTGAAGTATTAATTAGACATGAAATTGAAAAAACAGATACTCTCCAAGGAATATCATTAAAGTACGGGTGCACTGTAAGTTGTTTTTAATATATTTAATCATACAATACATTTTTTTATATATTTTCAAATCCTTCATGTATAGGTTTCTATACTTCAGTATATACTTATAATAAATAAGCAATTTTAGTATACTTAAGGATATAGGTGCCTACCTACCCAAATATAATACCGTACACACATATGTATAAAATGTAAATTTAATAATTTTCCATTGTGACGCTTTTAATATACCGTGACAAATAGATATTTCTTAAAAATGTATTTTTTCTAGCTACATAATACTTATGAATTATTTTTGTTTTATTTAATGAGGGCGTGCTATTATAAAACTTAAGTAGATACAATTTTTTTTTTCTTAATGACCTCACATATTATTTATATAAATTTTGCTTTTCCGTTATCTATTGATTAGGTTGAAAATAATATTAAAAATTACAGAGAACTATTTATTAATTAAAAAAATATTTTATAATAAGGAAGCAACAATTTTTAGTTTTTGTCGATTTGCATTTTTCTTTTACACATAACATTTTTGAAATGAAAGGAAATAAATTTTATTTACATGTTTTATGTGTATAATACCAATATGGTGTTATTCCGAAATATTTTTTTCTTTAGTTTTTACTGATTTTGCTTTTGTAATAAAGAAAATCGAAATATGAAAATACGAGAAAATATGATTACGTAGTTTAAATATATGCATAAGTATATATACACATATGTATGAAAATAAGGAATATCGATTTAATTCAGAAAGTTATAAGTTTAATTGTAATGTAGGTAATAACCTTTTATTTATAAAAGTGCTAAATCAAAGCTAGAATAATTTAATAATGCAACATCTACAGAGGGTTTTATTGCTGCAATAGTCAAAGTAATATCTTATACATCCATTGTTTAAATAGAAATGTATAATTACCAAGTTATTAATATTAATTTAACATTTAAGTAAATGAATGAATCATTGAAACACAATATCTAATATTCATACATTACTTGTTAGTATTGTTCCTCTTTTCAAAAGATAAAAGCTCAATGAAAAATATATATTAACGTGTTTATATAATGATAATCAAAATCGAGAAGAATAAATGCATATGATATGGCTTCATTTAAAGAAAAATCTTTTCTTTTATATATATACATACATATATACCAAGCTGTTAAGTAATAAAATTAAAAATCATTCTCATTTTATAAATAAGAAAATTTAATAGATATCTATGCCAAGATTATTGTTCACGTTAGCAATATTCAATTGTTAATAATTAATTTTTTTATTTGAAATAAAATTTTAATTGCGATTCATTTTATTAATTTTTTTGTTATTATTAAGTAATGTCGTTTTGAATAATATTCAATGAAATAAATACATATGTATGTTTATTGTCATAACGTAAATTAATTTTTCAATATAAAGTGGCTACTAGTCTTTCTCGTTCATAAATTTTCATCGAATTTCCATATTATACATACTATTAAATTCTATTTGCGGTTGCTTTTCTAATCTTACAAAAATATTTGATGATTATTCTTCACCTTAATGATTTAAAAATTTATAAAGTTTATCAATTTTTTATTATTTACTTATTTACTGAATTAATAACGTTGATATGATTTTATTTAATATGTTTCGCTTACATAAAAGTAAGGCAAAGTTTTATGAAATGATTAATGAAATTATTTTTGAATATGTTTTCTTATATACATATATTACTTTTGAGATAATAATGTTTAATTTTAAAACATTATCTAGTAAATGCGTTTATTATATTAAGAAAATATATATGTATGTACTTATATGAAAATTTTCTTAATCATAGCAAATTTTTTATCAAAATTAAATTGTCTTTTTTAAGGTAATGTTTAATACGAGTACATTATCGTTTAATGCTTTTAAAATATTTGATATCGTTCTCTTCTTAGACGATAAGTTGTAAAAGTTTGAAATTTTGGAGATTTTAGGTATTGATAAATGATTTATTTGATTATAAAAAGTTTTTTTTTCACCTCGCTCCTGTTGTAACCTCTAGAAATCAGTAAAATTTCAATTTTTGCATCTCATGCATTTCAAAATTTCTATAAAAGCAAAACAAACGCTAGTTGTAAATGTTTTGGCCACAAAGAACATAATTATATTCATTTCAACTCACCTAACTCACCATCAAAATAATATTGATATATTTAAGTAATATAAGAACCATTTAAAAAGCAGATTGTTTTTTAATAATACATTTTTAAAACCGTAGTTTGGTCCAAATTTTTTTTAAGTATATTAAGTTTTTTAGCTTTCTTTCATTAAATTCTTGAAGCTATTCAGATTTTCTTACATTTCATAACAAATTCGCTTATTTTTTAGTTAATATTATAGTCAAATTATGTTAATTATTTCATGATTTGTTAACGTTGTCTATTTGAAAGAAGGGAAAATTAGACCTCAACTAGTTGAGTCGCTGCAGTATCAATTATTACTGCATATTCAATAAAATAATTTTAAAGATATACGTAATAAAGATTATGAGCCTTCAATTTTTCTAAAAAGTGGCTCAAAATTGGATCATTAATTTATACAAATTAAGATAATTAAAAAATATTGTTTAAAGTATCGCGTCCAGGATTTTTTATCGTTATAAACAATAAGTAAACCATAATTAACATTTAAACTTTTTAATTTTTGATATAATAAAACTTGTTTATAATAAATTCCGTTTACAGAATTAATTTAAATAAGTACATAATGACTATATTAAAAAATTATAGTAATTAATTTAACAGAATAATATCTTCATAAGTATACAGAGTGATTCACAGAAAGGTATACAATAACACATATCATTGGTTAAAGGATCAAAAATGGGTATTACTTTTATTCTGGACTGGGTGCCAAATCTCAAGGATATGTTACAGAAGATATAGTACAAAAACCACAAATATTGTGAGCCACAAATATTGAATTTGAATTGAAAATCAAACCAAATGTTGATAAAACTAAAATTAAATTCAATTTAATATTCCTTTATTAAAAAATTTGGAAAAATAAGAATTCCTTATGCACAAAATTTACAAATTTCTCGAAACGAAACCCAAATTCTCCCATAAAATTCACCTCATTCGGCAAAAATTTATGCTTTTCTTATTTCAAGTCTATTCAATCGCATATTTTAAATCAATTGCTTTACTGGAACACCTGTAGTTTTTGAAAAATTTGTTGAAAATTTATTAATTCCCTTAAATTATTTATTATATATTTATTAGCTTAATAATGTTAATACGATATCATTTACAAATTCCATTTTGTGTGAAAAAATTAAATTTTCCTATTAAAAAAAATTTTTCTAATAAAATAAATGTCAAAATTTATATGGCATGTCTTTAAAAATTCGCTCCAGCTGGATAATTTTAATAAGTTCAGATGCTAAATGGTGTCTAGGTTTCGGAAATATTTTTTTCAAATTTTTAAATTGCACCCAATCTGAGAAAAATGCCTTTAAAAATTTCAAACCATATAGGCACCATTTCTTATAAAAACTGGCAAAAATAAAAAACATATCAATTTTCTTTACCAAGAAAAGTTTCGAAAAAAATTTTTTGATTACTAGATTTTTTTTTGTTTTTCGTAATACAAAATTCTAGTTTTTCTTTTCAAAAATTTAAAATTTTTTTAATTCAATTTTTGTTTTTCAATTAAAAAGTTTGTATAAAATTTCGTTTCAATTTTGTTATTATTTGTTACATTTCAGTAAAAACCTTAAAATTTAGATTTTTTATCAAAATAACGGCTCTTAAAAATGTCAACTGTCTTTTCGAGTAAAGCGCTGTAAAGTTTGTTGATAATTACAGCGCTTAAAATCAATAAAAATAGACATAGAATTGGTTTTCGTGCTATATCTTCTGTACCATAAAAATTTTTTTAATGTTTGAAGACTTGAATTAAAAACTCAAACAGATGGACAAAAATCTTTAAAAAAAAATTTCACGGTTTCAAAAAATTAACTAATTAGAAAAAACTGAAAAATAAAAGAAGTGAAAAATTTGACATTTCCTAAAGTTCCAATGCTTGGTATTCCGAAGGGATCTTAAAAAATCAAACAGGATGACATAGAACTCGGAAACACTTGAGATTTGGCATCGAGTCCGGAACAAAAGTTTCGCTAACCAATCCTCTAACCAATGATATATGTTGTTGTATACCTTTCTGGATCACCCTGTATATATATTTAAAAAAGAAAACGTGCCCATTGCATTTCACGAAATACAAAAAAGGTTTTAAATAACATAATAACGTCTGTTTACGTATTTTCTTTTACCATTTTTTTAGGTTAACTGCATATGTAAATATGTATATGAATATATCTATTATAATATAAAATTTTCTATAATTATTTAAGTTATTATACTTAAGTGAGGTTGAATAATTCAAGTTCGAGAATTTTCATTATTGTTTTAGTGTAATACTTAATGTATCGGTGTATGTGCAAGAATCAGATGAAATTAAATGGAAATAAAAAATGCAAAAAGATGCAAAACGATTAAGGAAATTCTAAAAACAAGCAAGAGCTACTTATTTTACATAGGGTTAGATTGATTTTTTTTTTTAAATACACATCAAATATTACTTATTTTAGACTTTTATTAAATCAATAAAATTTTGTAAAATTTTATGACTCATATTCAAGTGCAAGTCTACAAAAATGAATTTTCATTTTGCTTCATTCGCTTATTTTAATTTCCTTTTGTATTTTCAAGGACTAAAGTTGTGTGCGATTGCTTGCATGAAGCAATTTTCCTATATGTTTTCAAATAAATTTGTACGTTTTACATATATTGCTTCTGTATGTTTCTATAATATTTGAATTTTTTTAGAACATTACCTTTTTCAATAAAAAAATTATTAGAAAATTATTTAAAAATATTTAGATGAATTGCTCTAGACATCTAAATTATTTAAAAATATTTAGATGTATTCCTTTCTCTAGACTCTTCCTTTGAAATTGTTGGATATCTTTTAAAAAAACCATTCAATTGTTCTTCAACTTTTGTTTTGGATTTCTTTAATACTTAGGACTCCAAAATTGCTTTTTCTTACTACATATTATTAAAACCACATTAATAATTTATCAATTTTAGATTGCCAGTGTTTGAAATTCAACAAATTATACTAAGCAAAATTCATTGCATTCTATTAAATTCTTATTTAAAGTATTGTTCTCGTTTTTTCTGACAAATTTATTTTGTTTTACTTTTAGATGGAACAAATCCGTCGAGCTAACCGTCTTTTTGCATCTGATAGCTTGTTTTTGAGACAGTATCTTCTTATACCAGTTGAAAAGTCATCACCATATTATCCAAAGGACGATAGGCCACAATCTCTGCCGGTCAGAGCTTTCTCGGTGGCTGGAACTGAATTTGAATCAACAAATCAAAATCTCTTAGTGCAGTTACAAAACTCCACATCATCAGTAAACTCAGTGCAAAATTATAATAATAATCAAAATATAAATTGCAACAATAATAGTACGAATAGCAGTTGTAGGTCAATTGAGTCAATAATGAGTCCAGAAGAAGAAAATAAACGTTCCATAGATGAATTTTTGGGTAAAATCGATACTACTATAGCTGAATCAAAGAAATATGTCGCAAAATCTCAACATGGTAGTAATGAGTAAGTAAAAAATATATATATTTAAAAAAGAGAAACGATTGGATATCATTAAAATTTTAACTCATTTTCCTTTAGTTTTTGTTGTTTCCTTATAATTTGTGGGATACTTGTCTTTCATAAAATTTCATTTTAAGAGAAAAAAATGTCTTATTCTGAACGAAAACTGTCTCTTTATTAATAAAATTCCATATAAAATTTTAGGGTTCATAAATCAAAAATGAATTATAAATATATCGGAGTTATAAGTTAATGAAATATTCTTTTAATTTTTCTTTTAGCATGATAACCAGTCAGAGTGATGATGATTTATTTTCCTCAAATTATCAAGGTGGAAATATTGGAGGTAATTCTAATAATGGAACCAAACGTTATCATTACCAACAATCATCATCAGCATCAACAAGTTGTTCTTCATCAAATCATCATACTAGACATAGTTCATCTGGAAGTACATCTGATACTGCACATTTGCTTAACTTAAATCAAGGTAAACGTGTACAAAATTCATTGCAACGCCTTGAAAAGGAACAAGATGAATTCTTCGAATTGTAGCATAAGGCCAATCATAATAAAAATAATAATAATTATCAAATACAAAAATACTATTATTATAATTATCTTTACTGTGTTAATTTTGAATCAGTGCGGAATAGTTTCAGAAATATATTTAGGAGTGTTAAAAATCGAAAGAAAAAAAGCAAAAATTTTCAAAGTTATGATAATTGTAAATAAAATATATTGATTGTAATATAAATACATACTTATATAAAAAAGGTCCCACTGAATACACCAAGTTATTCATATTTTAAAAATAAATGAACAAAAAATTAGGACCAAATAGGTGAAATTATATACATACATACTTATAAATTATTAAAATTAAAAAGCAAACTATATGAATTGAAATGAATGTAAAAGAATGAATAGACGTTACCTTACATATATATAAATATATACATAATATATGCATAATAATATAAATATAATTTATGTTAGATTTATTTTCTATTTAATATAAAATAAATTATCTATAATTTGTTGATTAATGTTATACACAAAAGAAAAAAAACCATTACAAAGCTAAAAAAAATCATTGAAACTTAAAACTTAAAAAGCGAACAAAACTTTGAAAACATTAAATAATTAATTTTGAACTAAGCAAAAAATAAAAAATAAAATAAAGGTGTTGTACTTTAAAATTGTAATACATATTTAATTTGACTATTGTAAATTGTAAAAATTATAATCCATAAAGTAGTTGGATTTACAAAGTGCCACTATATGTTAAATATTATTTAATATTGTGTGTGATATTGATGAAGCAAATTGAATCTCTGTAATTCGTACGGTACGACGTTATGGTAGTTTTGAAAATCATAATTAATTGTGATACAGATGTAAATTTGAATCCGCTATGTAATTTTTGATTTTTTGCTTTGTAAATAAAATATATTTTTGGTAACACTTCCAAAAATTGGATCGTGATGATATTATAACATTTTCATCAAATTTTTTTTTTGAATTAGTCATTTCGAACAGAAGATAAAATGTTTTTGATTTTTTTCAATTTACAATTTTAAAAACTTCAGAATTTTTAAATGAATTAAAGATGAAAATAAAAATTACTATTGAAATTCATATGTATATGTATTAAATACGACATAGCAAGTATTGTATTAAGTTTAAATAAAATTGTACAAATGCAATTTATTTAAAAAAAAATATTTCTGTTTTCTTTTTCACATTGATATGATCAGTTCTGAATATAGGCTACGATAGTTTTATCCATTTGCTAATTTATCACATATGGTAGCATAATGTAGATTCATTTATATTTAAAATTACATTTAGAATTAAAAAAAAATAATAAAATAAATAATCACCCCTCTATTGTGATCTCTTTAAAAAGAGGATGTTTGGATTGTTTTCTATTTTTAATTCTCAAAATTATTGATAAATTAAAAAAGAACAAAGAAACAAAAAATAAATAAAAAGAAAATAAAGAATATTTAATATAGATTTAATATTTTTTTAGTTTAAATTTTAAATTCTTGTCATTTTTAAAAATATAAAAAAATATTTTAAATAATAAAAAACTCACATATTAAACCTAATGTTTTATTTAAAAAATTATTATCATTTATAACAAGCAAGGCAGATTTATGTAAAAGTAACATGCCGCTTAATATCGCACTTGTTTTTCATATTTGCGGTAATCCCGTCATGCACAACAAAAACAGCAGTCACAATATTCTTATGTATAATTTTTTAGTTCTTTAACGTTTTATTGGCCAAAGATGTTTTAAAAAAAAATTGTTGGGACATTATAAATTATTAATGAAAAAAAGAATAGTACAAAATTTTTTTTAATACCATTGAAATGTAATAATTAAATTTTATTGTTTTTATTTAAATTATAAATAAGAATTCATTAATTTATTAATGACTTAAATTGCGTTTTGCAAAAATTTTTAGTATGTGGTACTATCAGTTGGATGTTATCTGTGAGTGTGAACAAGATTTCTAAGCTGGTCAAGCATTTAGAAATCTTGTTCACATTCACTGATAACATCCAACTTTGCGAAGTCATCTTGGATATAAAATGTGTATAAAGTATAACAATTAATTAAGTTATTTGAATCTGATTAAACGTACAGAAAGCAAATAGAATGCATTGTGCATTATACGTTTTCATTTTCTGGAATTAATTTTAAATGACTCAAAATATGAGATTGAAAAATTAGATGAAGTAACAGCCTAATACTTATACATTTTATATAAAGTAAAAGCTTACGTATTTTTGCAAAACCGTTACTTTAGGTAGTGTTTATTTTTTGTTAAACTAAACATTTTTTTTTGGATGTACACACGTTCAACATGGTTACAAAAATTTTAAAAATGTGTGAACATATTTCCATTAATCTTTTCCTTTTAAACATCATTTTTCAAATATTTGAGTAGTATGTTCATGCGCTTATTAAAATAATTAATAATAAGATTAGAACCATATGCAATTATAATCAAGATTTTGAGCTTTTTATTTTCATTTAAATTTTTTTCTGTTTTTTTTTAATTTAATTTTCATTAAAATTTAACCGCAAAATGCCATTTCTATATTAAAACTTTCCACTTTAATTATATCCTTTTTTCTTTTATGTGTAATTTTTAAAATTAAAATAGAAAAAATTTTATATTTCCTGTCTAATCCATGTTGAACTTTTATTCTTTCCTTTTTGTTACTTTGAATAGAGTTCCGATGTCATTAGCTTTATATACTTTACAATTTGTACTATACAACAGTACATGTATTAAAAAAAATTATAAAAAAATTTAAAGGAAAGAAGATTCTTCTTAATTGTCCTGACTGGTACAATTATTAAACGCTATTGTGTTTAATATTAAATGAATTTTATACAGAATGATATTTACACCCGTGTAACTATTTTTTTCTCTCGATATTTTTTTACTCTTTTAGTAATATTCTTTTTAAAAGAAAAGTTTTGCATATAATGAAAATACTTTTGTTGAATTAAAAAAGGATAAGAAAAAGTAAAAGAAATTCAAAGTAATTCGGAAAACAAAAGTGCGTTAAGAAGAGAAGTTTTTTTAATATTTATTTATTCTAAGTAAAATTTTATATTTTTCGTTGGTTCATTATTCCTGTGGGATGTATAAAATATATGTATATATGTATATTTAAAAATACCACGACTTATTTATATATAGCTAAATAGATTCCGTTAATATTTTTAGTGTGCATGTATTTAACTTTTTACAATTTAATTGTTGTATTGAAATAAAGGGTAGTGAATAAATAATTTCGCAGATTTTATCGTACTATGTTTTGAGTTCTACTTTATAGATAATATGATGTACGACAGGTTATGTACATATACTTATATATATGATTTAATATACATAAGAATAATGCTTAATTTAAATGTTCTTATTTGAAATCTTTTATATTAAATAATATAAATTTAGAGTTTTGTTTGATTTGATGGTTTTATATTGTATGCTTGATTTTTGAAATTATGAATTCAAACTGTTTAAATTACTACATTTTTATCGAAATGTAAAAATCATATATTTGCTTGACTGTGTGCACATATATTTCAACAATTTTTAATACTTTAAATATTGCAAAACATTTACACTTCAAATAACTTTGAATAATTTTAGTCCTAATATGAATTTAAATTTTTCGGGGAACTTAATGAAATTTTTCACCTTCAAATTGGGATTTCACCCGCACAAACTTATATTCGAAGGGTATACTAAATTAGCCTATGTGTAGGTTTAGGTTAAGTGTAGGTTTTTGATCAGCGTCGAATTTTGAGTTGACGTAGCTTTCCGTCCGCCTGTCCGTCCGTTGTACCGTCCGTACCAACGATAACTCAAAAACTAATTGAGCTAAGTCCACCAAATTTTCACAAATGAAATAATGAAAATAAATTCCAGAACCCTATTTAAAGTGGATATGATCAGGGTACTGGTTCGGGTAGCTGCCATACAACTTCCAAATTTATTTGGCTATATCATAGAAACTATAAAAGCTGTGTAAATATTAGTAGGCAAATCTGTTTGATAAAAGTTGTTGAAATTGCTTGGATCTTTCTGGTGGCTGCCATACATACAACTTCAATAGAGTTGACACGGTCAACTCTATTTTTTATCTTTTTCAATTAAAAATGTGATTTTTTAAATACAAACGAATGGTGCTCTTCTTTCTCGACTATTCGCCTCTTCCATAATAATTAGCGGCTATAAATACTTACTGCCATCTATCAAAAAAAGCGCATATAGAGTCTACTTAAATGTGAACGATCAATGTTTTGAAACATTTAGGGAAGCAGCAATTTGTGTTTAAACTAGAACAGATAGAGCCACTTTGAATGAAATTCTAGATTTCTATAGAATCCGGTTATTCTGCGATTCTTTTGTTTTGTCTATATTGTGAAAGTGAGAAATTATTTGGTTGACATTTTGGAATCAATGTGAATGAATGAAATAACAAAGTAATATGATTCAACGAATATGAACTAATATTATTAATTTTAAGAACTAACTTTTAATTTAAAATATTTAGAATATAATGATTTCTCTTTAATTTTCGGTGAATTAATTATAGAATAAGCTTTTCCATGAAAAAAATTTCAGTAATTGAAATTGGATATATGTACATAATTTAAAATTTTTGAACTGACTTCTTATAGCATTACAACTGTTTAATATTTTGACCATTGAATATTCCAATTTTAATTTTCAATATTAATTTTTTCTTTTATTACAAGTTGAGTATTAATTGAAGGGAATAACTTAAAATCCCTAAAAATATGCACGATACTTTTTTATATTTCTCATTCAATCAAAGATGATATAGAAACGTTTCACTTTTAATCAAAAGCTTTTAATCTTGACTTTCGAAGGAACGAAGGAAGCATTCCTTTAAACCCTTTTAAAAAACTAATTATTTTTATAAAAAAACTTTAAATTAATTTTGTTTCAAGCTTTCAAATATGTGTCATTTTTAAATTTTGCAATACACTAAAGGAACAAAGTCCATTTAATAGTTTGAAAGAACTCATTGTGTCTAAAGGTAAAACCAGATACATGGTATTGAATAAAATCCTATTAATGCTTTATATATATTTTTGGTTTCTTTTGTTAAAATTTGTAACACATTTTATCTAATGATTGAATTGAAAATAAAAAAAATCTATTTTTCAAATATCCTTTACAGTTATTGCTTTCTTTTCAAATAATTTTAAGAAACTGTGTGTGTGTGTACATACAATTTTCAATACTGGGTGATA